CCCCAAATCCTCCAAAAGAATTCTCCCGAATCATCAGCAATGTCGCTCAAGTCCATCCGCCTGCGATGACCTCCCGGACCCCAATGGGCGTCCAGCCGCGACCGCCCCAGCAGCGAACCCTCAGCAGCTCCGGCCTGTCGGTCCAACGGCCAACCCACCAGCGCACCCTATCCCAACAGTATCTGCCTCAGTCGCCCGTTCGTAAGGAGAACCTGATCGACCTGACCGGCGCCGACAACGATGCTGCCGTCGCCCAGAACAGATATGGCACCCTGCCGCGGAGGGGAGGCTCCCGCCTCAAGCTCGAGTTGTCCAACGACGCCATGCTCCCTCAGCACCACCCCAGCGACTCGCCAAACATCCTCACCCCCAACCGCCTCATGCCCAAGAACGAGCCCTCAAACCTCACCGACATGAGCTCGCCGGCCTCCGCAAAAGGCCAATCCATCGACGTCGATAACCCGCCCATGCCCATGCCGAAACGCCGACCGCGATTCGTCGTCCCCACACCCATCAAAGACTCCCCTGCGCCCGTCGTCGCAATCAAGAAAGACGGCCGCCCGAAGCCCTACCACCTCGAGACTCCCGCCGCCGCCCCCCGATACGCGCCCTTTGGCAAGCCTCGATCCGACGCGACGGCGAAACAAGGTTTTGGCGGCAGCGGCGGTGCGCGCGACTCCCAAGACTTGGGCCATGCCGACTTCTTCCCGTGGACCGGCAACCACCCGGAGGACCAGTGGTCCGAGACCATCATCAAGAACGGCTACTTTGATAAGCCTCCCGCGACCACGGCCGAGACCACGTCCGCCAAGGCCGCACTGTTCCCTGCCCTGAAGCACAAGACTGGGCTTAACTTGCTCTCCAACATCTTCACCGGCATTCTGAACCAGCGGAAACTGAATGGCCAGATTTCGTCGCCCTCGACCTTCAAGCCGCCACCGCGTGTCACCCTTACCGATACGAAGCGAGAAATGTGGCTGAGGGACTTGGCGAACCCCTCCATATCGTTGCGCCGCCTCAGCCGAACCATCCCCCACGGCATCAGGGGCAAGGTCCTGCTGGACCACTGTCTCAACAAGAATGTGCCGACCGAGAGGGCTGTGTGGCTGGTCAAGTGCGTTGGCGCGAACGAGATCCGATCAGTCAAGAGGAAAGGAACCGGCCCCAACGGCCCTTTCGTCGTTACTGGCGAGGCAAAGTGGCTAAGAGATTGGACGGTTTTTGTCGAGCAATTTGTCGAGGGAGTATCCACGGCCTTTGGCGATAACGACTGGAAGGCCAAGGTTCAATATGCGTAAGGTTATTCTCGTTGGCCCGGCCTGGCGAAGCTAACGAAGCTGCAGCATTCGACTCGCGACACATTTATATGCCGAGCAATTGCTCGAGCGCGACCACTACATGGACTGGCTCGTATCCGGGTTGGAAAACTCTACGCAGGCGAAGCTGCCGATGTGGATTTTGATCACACAGATTTACTGGAAAGATTTGCTTCGTTTGAGAAGATATGGCCGGAGACTAGTCAATGCGCTCCTCGGCCATCTCAACACGGTAAGTTGCTCGTTCATAGGCCCGCGCGCATATCTAACGGATACAGATCCATAACGACCCTGACCGAGACATTCTTATCCAACTGTCCGTGAGGTTAACATCACTACTTATCCCCCTTGTATCATCTCATCCCGACAACTTTGTTGCACCTGCGACTTGGTTCAAGTACAGGGACGCACTCCTCGCCTCTATCCCGATCGACAACGACTTTGCGCAGACCGCATTCAAATCGATCAACTCGAGAAACGAACAGCTGGTTGCGTCGGCGAACAACTCCCAGCCGGCGAACCGCCAAATACTTGTCAAACAACTTGACACAACTTTTCAAACGATATACACAGCCGACCTGGCTACGCAGTGCTGGATAGTCAGTGAGGACAAGAGCATGATTGTGCGAACGCTTTTGGAATGGTGCACCTCGCCTCACAGACCCGGCGCTGCCAAGGTTTACATGACTGCCAGCCTCTTGCGAGCCTGGATTCCGACCGGACTAGACGTGACGACGGCAATCCTAGAGTTTCTGAGCAAATGCCCGCCGACCGAGCCGAATGCGAAGAAGACGTTCCACATGTTGGTATCAGAAATCGCGCGCAGCGGGGACTTTCAGTTTCAAGGATATGTCTTCTGGTTGGTTGCGCGAGGTGGTCTTCGGGAACCTTCCGACACGGAACGAGAGGGCTCATGCGCAACGAGGCTGCTGGTGGACCTGCCGCTTCACGCCTTGGACCCAGCGTCTCTGGCAACGCGAGCGAGCCTACTCCGAAGAGCGACGTACGATGTCAACGACGAAGCAGAAGATATCAACACGGCCCTGAAATGCATTCAACATGCCATGGGCCTTCCCCTTCCGCCTGGGGACCCGATTCTCCAGCGAAAGCCCGTCTCTCTGGGTAAACTTTGCCGCCTAATCTCTGACAGTAACCGTGCTCTTCAGACCGAGGTTGGAGCTCGACTTTTGCAGATATTCACGACCGAGACGGTCATGACCAAGAACGGGCCCCAGGTTTCTGTGCCCATGTTCAACTTTGCCCGCGCGATCCTGGAGGCTGCTTCGGACTTTTCCGTGCTGGCTGAAATTGTCAAGGTCGTTATCCGTGTGTCGAACCCCGAGATTCTCGCTTCCTGCGCCGATACCGTCAACGTACACCTACCGATCTTCGCCGCTCTCGGCGTGGGCAAGGAGCTTTTCGATGTGCTGTTGGAAAGACTGAAGGTGGTGGGAGAAGAGCAGGGTGTCGCCGCTCGGCCTCTCTTGGCGTCTTTGGCGAACCTCGCGGCTCGTCTGCCAGGCCTAACGAACACGGCTATGCATCTGCGCAAGGAACTCCACCAGTGTGACCGCAACACTGCTATCGACGCTTGTTCGCCCGTGTCCGATAACATGGCTGGCAGGCTCCAGGATGCCGAAGGGGAACTGCACGAGGAGATCGAGAAGTTGTTGACCAGCGGGACGAGCGTGGACCGGCCGACTATGGACCGTCTTTTCCAGACTGTTGTTAGCCGATTGGAATCTTCATGGGCTAACTCACCAGAACGGCAGCGTGCCTACAGTGCGCTCCTTGGCCGACTGCGCATCTTCGACACCCAACACTTCGACTTGCGAATGACCGACTGGGTCCATCACGTCAGCGCGCTCAAGAGCCGGCCTGGCCTTGCGGACATCTACCCGCTGCTCATCAGCATAGGTTGCTTGACGCTGCCGATCCTCCTCACCACGACGACCGTCGATTCGAGCAGCGTCGCCCGCAATCCTGCAGCGCCCGTCAACAGCACGACGACGTACATGCAGGAGGTACTCAGCCTATGCGTCATGCCTCTTGCACTCAAGACGGCGTTGACCCCGGAAGAGACGTATCGGTTTTATATTCAACAGAAGATTGCGCCTCGTCAGAACCACAAGGACATGGTGATCCTCGTTCGAAACGCCCTTGTCGAGTACGCACGCCTGCAAAGTCAACCCGGGATCCCGTTGCCCTTGTCGAACTCGGCGTGTGGAGACAAAATGCTAGAACTTCTGAAGCTCCTAGTCTTGCTGGATGCGCCGTCTGTGGTTCAGTCATTGGGAACGAAGACAGCGGACCCTGCCCTGAGCGGTTTGTTTGCGCAGATCACGACCAAGCTTCTGATGCCGGGAGCTCAGGACGGAACGCCACTTAGTTTCGAGACTGTGCTTGAACTCGCCAATGAATTCACCCTCCCGTTCTGCCAGCTAAAGTTGTCCATCGGCCTGCCCGCAGACACCACTACAAGCCCGGGAGGTGGAGAGCAGGCGATGTCGCAGTTCGACATGTTTTCCCGCGCTATGGACCGGGCTGTGTCCGCGAACAACGTCATGTGGACGAGCATGTTGCCGTATCTCAACGAGGAGGTTACGGAGCACCTCAAGAGGCAGGCTCATCTGCGGTTCCTCGGCCTCTTTCCGTCTCAGAAGAACCCTTCGTCTTCCGACCCCCTTTCTCAGGACAGCATCCAGCTTGCTGGCAGTTTGTTGTCTGTGGTCGAGGCGATTGTCCGTGGCCGCCCGGCACCGAGGACTTCCCAACTTACCTCCGGCATGGTAGAGAAGCTATCGGAACTTTGGGAGATCCTGGCAGCTGGCGGTGACGACAAGCGGGAGCTACGCGCTTCTATCCTGAGGCATTGGCTTCCGGCGCTGCTGAAGTTCATCACTCTCCACACGAACGCCAACGAAGCAGCACCTGTCCCGGCCCAAGGGGCGAACATGAAACCTCCAACCAGTACCACCGCCTTCGAGATCCGCGGACGGGTTCTTATCGTCCTGGCTGGCCTCACTCTCGAGCTAGACGGGCTCGCTTTCGAAGAGCCCCAGACCGGCCGACCCCTGACCCAGCAAGTCTTCGACCTGGCCCTGCTGCTCGTCGACAACCTGCCCGATGACACGCGCCTGCAGTGCGTACGTGTCCTGCTGATGAACGGCACCCCGCAAAACCCTGCGTCCTCCGACGCCCGCCTGCGATACCTCTTCAGCCAGATGGCCCCGCCGACGGACCAGTTCGTGCTCGCCCACCGTCAGCAACCCACCACACAGCAAGCCGGTCCACCGCGACTCAAGGTTCCCATCTCCATGCAAGGAACCGACAAGCTCACGCCGTTCACCTACCGCAGATGGGAGATGCTTAGCGAGCCGACCCCTAATATTGGAGAAAACGACACGGCGTTGAGCCTCACCTTATTCGAGGCCATCAAGATTCAGTAAACGAGAATGGAGGAAGAAACACACGCATACAACATTACATTATCATTGCATCATCATCTTTTATGTTTGTAGGAAGGACGAGGAGGAAATTTCATTCATCATAGATACCATCCATTACTGGGGTTCCGCTGTTCCGCGGTTTTAGAAACCCAAGCCACGAATCGGGTGGTTGCGAAACATTGACGAGAGCAAGGCTGCTTTTGATACCAGGATGGGCAAAATGGCCGGCGTCGACTGGGGCTGCTTGAGGAGAGTGGGCGAGCGAGCGAGGGGTGGTTGGGAATTCATTTGTATCAGTGACGCACAGGCGGGCGAGCATGAGTTGGTTCCTTTGTTTTTCCTCTTTTTAACGACTCAATTCCAGCATATTTCATGACCTGACTACATGCATTCGTACTTCGTGTGACTGTGAATGATCAGGCGAGTGTGTCACCGGAAGGTCGCGAGGGCGGGGTCCGTCGGTATAAAAGCCCTGTAGTCTAGATACATCAACGGGCAAGGCAATAATGTGATAGCCCACGCTGCATCGCAGGTTGGTGGCTGGGATGGCTCGCCAGACGTCATGCTGTCTACAGTTACGGTCCTTTAGGGGGTGGGTGGTGAGTTAGGTTCCTGTGGACTCTGCTTCGTTGTGGGAGTATTCATCGCCAGATACGGGGGCATGTATGATGGATGGTGAAGATGTGGTTTCGTGTTGTGTTCTGGTGCTCCTGCGGAGGCGGGTGAGCACGCTGATTCGTTTACTTGTCGTCTTTTAAAGAGACTTGGCTCCTGCATCTTTCATGGCTGTTATGTGATCATAATACCGAGTTATTTGGTGATGACTATGAATATTTCTGGAGGTCATTCACTGAGAATCAGTAGCGGGGCCGAGGCGGTTGATGTATAAGAGCCCTCGGATCTTCGTAAACCAATGGGCAAGACAATAGCTTGGATCCGCGGTCACTTTTGGACGGTGCTGGTTGAAAGTGCCATTGAACAACACACCTTCATCCAGGATACGGTCACTTGGGTAGGAGGCGATAGTGGGTAGTTCCTGTGAACGATTCTTCGATCTTTTGGGATATTCTTTGGCGCATACGAGGGTGTAGATGATGGGTGGAGAAAGAGGACCGTAGATTGGGGAAGGGAAAATTGGCTTATGGTGTGGTCTGCGTGTTTGAGGTCTGTGGTCTTTGGCGAACACGAGGGGTTGCGGTGTCCAAACGAGAGCACAATCTGATCTGCCTGGCACTGCCGTGAGCTCATTGTTTGGCAGCCTGGATATGAAGAGCGGGCTTCAAGTCCTTTTATACGCGGTGGGTCGGGCTGATGGTTCTGGTGGGCTGCGTTTGGAGGTGAGCTGCTTCTTCTCTGGTTTGTTTGACGATTCGATTTCAGCATCCTAGGTAGGTAGGAGTAGCGACTCCAGACTTGATTGGTATAACAAGTTGTACAAAAGCCCTCGAGTTTACTTACAGTCACGGGGAAGACAACCAAAATGTGGGCAGTCAACCCAAACTAGCTCGGGTTCCAGGTGTCGTAAAAGACGTGCGGGCGTTGTCCAACGTACGGCTTTGGTCCTCGAGGAGGGGTGGTGGAGAGTGCCTTTTGCTCTGGACTAGAGTCTGGGTTTGGATTATTCCCTGGCGGATACGAGGGTATGGGTGTTGGATAGGGGAGGACGGGGAAGCAACTGAAGGGATGTGGGAGGGAGGGATGTGTGATCCTCTCTACGTGCACAGAGTTTCCTGGGAGTCCGTTGGAACCGGGCAAGTTCTTATGCTACAACCGCTTCGATTTCGGCTCGTTGCTGGTTGTTGGGAGACCAGGATGGGTGTTGATTGGTCTTTTATACTTGGCGGGTCAGTCTGATGTTCCCGTGATTGCGTTGCGGGATAGTTGAGCCTTGTGAGGCGTTGTGTTTGTATAAGTGAGGAAGTGTTGTATGTTTCTTTTTGGGACTGACGCAATCGTGTGTCTCCTGTATTATATCGTGATCTCGGAGAGCGGGAAAGTTCCTTGAGCACAATGGTATGTGGCGGCTAAGAACTGGCGTGAGGGTCTCACGGTCATCTTCGCGAGTGGACGGGTGTCAGCGTCGTAGCAGGTTGCGGATGGAATACGTGACCGAGAACGGGGATGGCTACGGGTTAGAAGGCGCGATTCAAGGAGGCCTGTCAGCCCTCTGCGCCCTGAATCAGATACCAAGGGGCTTGGAGAGCTTATGTACTTTGTTAGGTTTCAATGGAGCTCGGTCCCCAAGAATCCCTCCGAACACCAAGGAATGATTCCTGGCTAGCTCAAATCAAGCACGGGGTCTAGCTGGTATTAATACTCGGCGGGAGAATCTGATGTTCCTTATGGTTGTGTTAAAGGGAAGCTGAGCTTGGGTGTTGGGTGTTTGTATAAATTGGGAGGTTTCTGACTTGTTGCGTTGAGGTTCAATTTGCCTTGAGTCTTGCTCGAATGGTAATTGAGGACTTGCGCGTTGAGCTCAACAAGCTGTCGCCTGGTAACCGAGGCTGCGTGGGGTCTTGCAGCTGGGATGGATGGATTTGAAGAGCAAGCAATAGCTGACGGGGATACGCAACCAAGGACGGCGATGAGTGGGAGAAGCAGGCCAAGATGTGATTGTAGGGAACGTTGATTAATTTGGATTGGGGCTCGTTGCCCCGGCAGAGCTTCGCGCCGTTGAGCGCTAGGTTGTATACTTCTCTTCATCAAAGAATCGAGTGAAGAACGAGTTGCATTTGTGTTCGTGAGAGTAGCATTCTCGCAATAGAAGGCATACTGTGTACCCGCAGTTTGATAATGAAGCCTGTCAAGATGTGGTTGTGAAGGGGAAGACATGTGGGAGGAGAGTGGGCATGTGAAGGAGGAAATATGCCTGACGCTCTCGGGTATAAAATGTGACTTGCCCGTATGCTTTCTCCTCTCTTGAATTGCATGATAGCCTCATTGCTTTCTGCTCAAAACTGTTCACAGCCTCTTATGTACAGCGAGAATCAACAAGCGACGAGATATCGTGGCAATGCAATCATGAGCTGGTGTCGTCGACTTTGTCCTATTATGGATGGGATACGCACCGGAGGATGGGGACGACTACGGAACAGAGAGAGGTGTGGTTGGATGGCGTTCTGTTTGTTTGAACTTGGGTGATTGCCTCCAGGGTTTGATTGATTGATACCTGTTTCTCATTACTAGTGTCATTTATGAGGATAAGACTGGATTCGATTGTCTGGGAGCAGGAAAGATAAGAGTGTGGTGGGATTATATAGCCACAGGAGGTGAATGAGTAAGGGCCGGTCTGCGCTGGAGGGCACTTGATTCTGATACTCTTGGGTATAAATCACGGTATTTTCGTCTCGTTCTAGCTTTTTCCCCATCCCAACAATTTCACTGCGCTGGTGAATGCGTAGGAAATCCCAACAACCTATCGTTTTCAGCGAGAATCCCCCGATTGCGAACACTGAGGGTCAAGAAAACAGGCGATAAGATGTCGTAGCAGTGTTGAATTATTCCTCAGGCGGATACGAAAGAGAACATAATGGATGAAGATGTATCTCTCCTGTGATTAGGGGGAGCCGTGATCACAAATGCTCACACTTTTAGAGTGGATTAGTGTAGCTGACTTGTCGAGAACGGCCCTCTAGGAACTTGGTACAGGCTGAAGAACATTCCCTGTTGCTTTGCTGCAAGGACACTTTAGGAAGGGAGGTGCTCACATCTGTAGATGCCTTGGAACGTTGGGTTGTGAAGGTGGCAGAGGTTAAACGCTAGGGATCCAGGGGCACGCGTGTTGCAAAAGAAACATACCTCACATTGTCCAATATAAATTATGAATTGCTCGTCTGCGTTCTTTCTTCTTTTCATTACAAATCCACAGTGACCACGACATCTGTGATAATGATCGGTGCACTGGAGGCTGCTCAAGAGTCCCCTGCCACCCGTTGTATTTAGCGAGTATTTCCCGAATCCGTGAACCTTAAGAGGAATAGATGACACGATGCGGTAGCAATGTGAGGTTATTTCGAGGTGAATACGGAACGGAAAACGGCATAGAATAGTGTTGTGATCACATTCCGTGACACCAGTAGCGCGAGCTGCTATTCTGCCAAGGGTGCGTTGGCGATTGCCGCCGTTGAAAATATCTTCGTTACCATGGGGAAGAAATGAAATCCCAGTCACAACAACGAAGTAAACGAGTTCATCTTGGGGCTCAATCATCTTCGAAGGGAGATGTGTATCTAAATATATACCACGCAAAATACACAGAAAATAGGTGTCAGCGTATCATCAGGAACTGTATTAGAGCTTGAGAATTTCAACAGTTCCGTTTTTAGGATGGTTTTTCTCAGGATGATGTAGGCGTAGAGTCTGTTCGATCAATTCGATATTCTGTCAGAGGCAATTGTGCTGTCTTCCTGTCTTGTATTTCGTGGTTTATTCGCCTTGAAGTCCAGATGAACGACAACATCTGCGAACCCCGCGGTATAGAATGAGCCATTCTCTTCCTCACTTGCCGTCGCCAATTTTAGGTCAATTACCGCTTCAACTTCAGGCAGGAGAGCCCACTCACGATATTCTGAGATCCACAGGCTAAAGGATATTGCGCGTTTCAGTGAGATTGATAGATGAGATGTTGCGTCTTATAAGCTAGGAAAGCGTGTATTGTTCGTGAGTGCCATTTGCGTTAGATAGCTGGGACGTAATATAAAACCAGGCATCGCCTTCTGCGATGGAGTTGGTAGCAGCTATCACATCTCTGGTCCCTTTTTAATCACGATCTGCTGGGTAGTTGGTAAGTGAGCAGTGACTACTAGCCGGCAAGTCTCTCCCCTAGGTATATGATACTTCGCTCTGAGGGTGCCGTTCGGACTTGCCGGTTGGTATCCGTATTTTCTACAGTGTATTCACTCAAGTATAACCGAATGACTCTTGTGACAGGTTCTCGTGTGTGATGGGACATGGTCTAAATTGCGTTCGTCTCAAATCAGCTCTAGAAACGCTGTCTGGCTAAACAGAAGAGCCCTATGCAGCACCTGAGATATCTGTTTCCTTCGTTCTTGGAGATAAAACCTCGGCATGGATCGCAGCTCTCTATACGCGTTACAAACATTGTGCGACTACGCTAAAGTAGTAGTAGTCTAGTATCTTATGGATCTCCCTTTTACGATTTAGCTTCGATAAAGACCGAGTGCATGCGATGTTATAAACGAAGTCTCAACGTTACTTCAGCAGTGCAGCCTTCCTCAAACTTCCACGGAGGTGCTTCTCATGAAATATCTGCCGCGCACCGCTTCATAGGCATTCTCGTTTTTCCATTATAGATCACTGCCATCGTCTGGAGCGTATTCTTTCCCAAACCTTCGAAGAAGTGGTAGTTGAATCTGATAGATGAGATCGGATCTTGATCTCGACTGGCACGTTACGTGCACGTAATTTATACCCGGCTCCCTTGTCGAATGCAGCGAATGTAGAGAGAAAACGACAACAATCACAACAATTTTGGTTTGCTGTCAGATCTGATGCAGCTCATATGCGCTTTTATGGCTGAATCTGCATTCCCAACTCACCACAGTGGTCAGGTTCAGTCACTGATTCAACAACGCAACCTGGGCATTTTTGCGATCTTTTCTAGGAGACGTATATACTGGTTAGCTATTTGCGAGGAACGCGGTGTTTTGGCACAGCCAATCGCATGGGCTCAAGTTCTCTTCAGCTGTTCACGGCATTCGTAGGCTGCTGCACGACTGTCATTGTTGCTGGTGAAGTACGTGTCTTCAGGAGACCGGTCACCACCATTGCCATAGACCTGACGTGTGCTGTTCGTTTATCCTAATGAATGCTATGAGAAAAAGAATGATGGTTCGAGAACTATATGGTAAAGGTTGAGTACAGCACTCGCAGCTCCTTCACCGTCATCTGTTGATTGCTCTATGTATCCTTACCTGGTTTAGACCCAAACGCAATTCCGGTAAGGAGGCCCGATCGCCGTATGATTCGTTGTTGGAAACAAAAGCCTCATACCACGTGCCTAGCCGCTTCAAATGGTTCACATTCTCAGCGAGATACCACCAGGCACGGGTAAAACACAGCAAAAAGCAATGCGTGGACAATCTATGAATCGAACATAGGACCTACCCCATGCGAAGGGGTCATTATACCACTAAACCAATCGCCCATTTGATGAAAGAGAATGCTTTTCGGCTTCTCATATGCGCAGGAATGCTCCGGAGAGGGCATTCGGGGAGCTTTGGTCCAGTCGGAAGTCGAGAACAGCGTTGTGGCGTTCTCAGGGAGCACGGCAGCAAAAAGCCCCGTCACGAGGGGCAAAAGAATGGACAATCTAGGAATCGAACCTAGGACCTATCCCATGCGAAGGGATCGTTATACCACTAAACCAATCGCCCGTGTACCATTGGAAAAGAATAGATGCGTTGAGATTATGGCGGAAAGATCGTGAGGTGTCAGGAATGGGGATTGGTTGCTTAGAGCTGAGGTGAGACATGGCGTTGTGGTGTAGGACGACGTGAACGGATGAGGATTGGGGTCAAAGTCAGGGGTGAAAGCCGAGCTGCGGAGCATTCCGATAGAAGATGATTGCAGCCGACTCTGCGTAAGTTGCCTTTCGTAGTATGAAGGGGATTCCTTTAGGTAGGAACTCTGCTATGCTGGCGTATGAGACAACAGATGACGAGGACGGAGAGAAATACTGTAATTACAGTGATGAGATAGCATTTCCTTCGGCTGACTAATTAGACTCGTCTGCCTGATTATCAGTACTCTGAAGTAGGTAGACTTACATCATCTCCCTGGAGGACATTGGTCCGCAATAATCGCTGTCATTTCTCGATGTTTTGTTTTGATACGCACATCTGGTCCGAATCCAAGTGAAATACATTTGACATGTTTTGATTGACAAGCAGCTTGCTTCTCCGAACCCATTGGCCTCTCGGTAAATCATCATTTGGTCAAATTCCCAACTTCAGTTATGAACCAACTTCCTTTGGCTCACAGAGGCTTTCTTCCGTGAATGGACCAACTACCCGAATTAGCAGCATGTCTTTCCCTTCAACAACGACTGCCACTCACATGTTATAGTAGGCGTGGATTCTCTTGTCGCCAAGTTCCTTGCAAACTTCAGCGGCAAGGGCGACAACGTCGTCTTTCGTCCAGCCGAGGGCTCGTGTCAGGGGAGCCATGATGAACCCGTCAAAGTTGGGCGCAATATTCTCATAGTTCCAGGCACCAATCTCCTTGTGCTTCCGATCTTTAGGCCAGCTATTGGTCGGCCACTTAAAGCGATGAACCTGCACGTCGGTGAACCCAATCTCTTTCAGGACCCCTTCGAGACGACCAAACTCCTGGAAAGGCGATCCGAAGATGACCATCGCTTTCAGGCAGAGGTCTGCACACTTCAAAATCGCGCTGTCTTGAGTCAAGGTCCCATCATCTGAGACAGGTACAGCATCAATATCGTTGAGCTCCAAGTAGCCGCCGGGGTTCAAGTTGCTTGTGTTGTTAGCGTGGCATGCTGGCCTAGGTATGTGACTTACTCGTAGCATCTCTGGACGTATCTCTTCCAGTCAGAGATACTTCCGGTCATGGTTCGACTATGTATGTAATCGAAACGCTGCGAAAAGGTCCACGGCTCCTCGATATCGTCGACTATGAAAGTCACGTTTGGCGGTACGCTAGAACAAGGGTCAATATTTTGGAATGAAACTCGGGAGAAGTTCCTCAGGGCCCAGGGGATCCCATACAATGTCGTTTGAACGGCAGACAGATCAATGCCGAGAACCTGTGAGAAATCAGTACTCCGCATCATGGAGAAGGGGGTATCGGGTATCCAGCAACCTCAGCCTCAGGATTCTCATTACCGAAATCAATGGCCCAAGAGCCTGAGCCTGTACCAACATCCAATACACGCCCAACTTTAGAGCCTGACTGGCTGGGCGGCGCAGTTCCAAGTCGGTCGTCAAAGGTGCGAATGAACAGGTTGTGTTGTAAGTCTACGGTTTCTTAGCTACAAACGCTCCACGTGTGCAACATCATAAGCTTTTACCAAGTCGATCGATCTCTTTGGTGTCATTTGGCGCCATGTACTCTGAATTCGGTAGGTCAGACCTCGTTCTTGTAGCTGATGACCAACAGAGACTTACTCCCTTCCTTGTACGCGTGATAAGTCCGTCCATTCTCTTGTCGATACTCGAGAACGGAGCCAGTTACGCTAGTTGTTGAAGAGACGAAGGTTCCCTGTGTAAAATATTTTTCAACGTCGTGCTTTCATAATGTGTCAGATGCTATCGCTTACTCCGCTGATTGAAGAGACATCGTCAACCGCGACCTAATCGTCAAGCGAGTCAGCATTTTTACGCTTCAATAGCATGTGATGTGATTTTTGACCTCGTCGGCAGCAAGCACACCGTTGCTATCGTCACTGACAGCGTGAGCTGGTCGTTCTTTCTTGTGGAGAGCGTCATTGCTGAGCCCAGCTCTGGCTGTAACGTTTTGGTCAGACATATTGGGAAAAGACAGCACGGTTGTCGGCAAGAGAGAAACTAAGGAATCTTGGTTTTCAAGCGGCTAGGAATTCTTTCGAGCGTATATAAGTCAGATCATAACTCATTCTGCCGTCCGGCGATGTGGCTACATTGGGAGACTCGGCCTTGTTGGTTCCAGGTTCCCCTCTTCTCGGCTGAAGACACCATGCATATTTGTTGCAATTCACTTGCAGAAACCCGCATTCTTTTACCTTTGGTAGCGAGCCACTCGTAAAATCATGCAGTTTCGATGCGGCACAGCGGCAAGGGCCCATCTGGCGGCTATGAGACGACTCTCGTTGGTTTCCAGTTGATTCGCAATTTCGTTTCCAGCAATCAGAAGCAAGCCTGAGGCAACACAGAAAAGATAGAAAATACGATCAAGTTGAAGCGATAATCAGCAATTTCTGCTTCATTGTAAAATTTGGAGTAGTAACATGCCGCGTCAGTGGAAGACAGCCTAACAGGACCAGGCAACTCGCGTTGTCGACCTCAGCAAGCATGAAGCCCGAGATTTTATCATCAACGATGGAAGACTATTACCAGTTGCAGGCACCAGCGTCCGATGTGGGGTCATTAAATTGTCTGCATTAGCTCTTTTGTTACCAAACATCATACGCGCCCGAACTTGTTCTCTATCACCGCGATCGAAGCTTGTTTCTTTTTCTGAACGAGATATCGGCGTTGATCCACCTCACAACATGCCCTCATCTCAAGAAGATATCGCGGCCTCGCTTGCAGCCTACCGATCGTTCATCGCAGCACAAAACCGCCGCGTTCTGGATGTTTACGTACCCTTCATCGCCACAGCCGAACCCGATGAGCTGGAAGACGACGAAGATCTCAATGAGCTCCGCCTGGAAGCTTTGGGCTCACTTCTCGATACAACGCTCGCAGACTTTGGTGTTTCAGAGCCAAATGAGGTTCTAACATGCTACGACGAGCTCGCTCCAAAGATCGGGGCTGACGGCACCTACGTAATGCACGAGGGCAGTCACGAGGAGCGTGAGGCTAAGCGACGGGAGTACCTCGACGAAATCGAGAAAAATCTCAAGCTGAAATCAAGAGAGGACGTACGGGAGACGATCTCTATCCCAGAAGATTTTCGCACCCTGGCCGGGCTGGTCGACGGCGTCCTCGATTACGGCATACCTTTCTGGCGCAACACAACTCAGCCAGCTTTCTGGTGGGGGTGTAGACAGTACCTGGGCTCGTATGCCTCAACAGTCATGACGCCCGAGGAACTGGAGGAGTATGCGGGCCTCGGCAGCTCCTGGAAGATTGCGGGAGGCTGGACGCCGGGAACCGGACCTGATGCCAACTTCAGCATCCTGTACTGCCGTCAATGTGACGAGGATGCTTGCAGTGGAGGTACACTTTGTGCACAGCCGTTGATGGTGAGCACATATTTGAGACCACCCCGGACTTTCTGGCCTGGTACACTCATTTCGGGGAGGATGATGAGGTACCTGACCCGAAAGATCTGAATGCAAACAGAGTTCTGGGTTGTGATTTCTGATCACATACCATTTTCGGCTGTGATTCATACCTTGGGTGTGACAAGACGTCTTTCAGCTGCACAATTCAATGAAGGTGATGAGGGCCATTCGGTCTAGATCCTTCATGCAATGTGTAAGCAATCTCCTGATAGAAACATCCGGGGCACTTCCTAAATATTCATTCTAATGGCAGACATTCGCTGTTTTTGAATCAGATGTCTGCAGCTTTTGATCCCCTATGTAAGCTTTCAAAACGAACAGTGATTGCAAAACGCATCAGTGAACAAATTGGACAACTACTGGAGGTAATGCATCCTCCAGTCTGCTTGTAGAATGAAGATGAATACAACTGCAGATGCCTGCTTCTGTTGATGTGAGTGATGAGCGGCAAGCTACGACCGCCCCAGGTCTCTGTTTCCAGTTACACTTCCTGGGGCGCCACTTCTTCAATAAGTTCGTTCTATACTTGGGCGCAATGCCCGATCAAGCGCCGTCCGTCACGTACTTCATTTGATGTTAGTTCTATTTCCGTAATATTTTACCCGGACTCGTAAGAACCGAAGCACCTTGGAAGATTATAGACGAGTACCCCGTACTTCAACGTAGGCAGGAATCAGAACATCTTCTAGGTCCAAACAAAGTACCAGGTGAGGTTCAATTGCCGCGGTGTGCCATCCCCTAGACTGAATGGCGCAACGTGTACGCGTGGACCTTGCTACCGTTTGTCGATAACAAATGTGTCGTATTCTGCAGCTGAATCTGCATGCGTAACTGTGTTCGCTGGTCTCGTGAGCTTTCAGCTCCCTCCCGATCACAGAATGTTCTCATAGCTGAAGCCTGTTTGCTGCTTAACTGTCCGTATTCGGTGCGTCGTCGTACGACCACAATCAGCTGGGTCTGGTGCGGCTGCGCCTGGAAGCTCCTCAACTAGGGGGTCGCAGAGCACACTCCTTGCAGGGGCGAGTTGTGTTAGAATATCAGTTACTTATGCCAGCCTTATGCGGTTCAAGTGAAATTTGGCGTTCGGAATCCCTGTTAGTTCTCATTAGACTGGTGCTTGCTGAGGCTGAATGCGTTATGTGACGCGATGCCCCACACCGTCACCGAGACAAGCAATAAGAAAGTGAGACTGCGGACTCTCTAGTCTGGCGGCAATCAGATATGCTTCACATGGAGATCTGGCAGATCTTGGGCTTCATGGGGATCTTTCTGGTGGTACCGTTGTCCATGCGACGTTGCCCGTATAGGAAATCATGCATGGAGGGGGACAGATCTATAAAGATGGGCATGGAGTCGCGCCCAACATGTCTGTTCTCCCCAAGCTCTTCATCAACAACACTACATTATCCATCACAAACATTTTTCAGATAAACATAAATCGACTTTTGAAAACATGTCTTCAACTGCCGGTACCGCAACCCCCGTGGCTACGAGCTTCGTCCAAGCCTTGCGAAGCAACGAAACGCTTTATCAAGCCTACACGACGAGTTCGTGTCTAGCTCCGACGACGCACCTCCAAGCTCGGATGATGTGACGAAATTCATCCAAAGCCAAGGCTATGATACCAATCTAGCTGATGTGAATGCCGCTTTGGCAAGCGTTTCCGCCAACGACCTGTCTTTTTGGCAGGGCGACTACAACACCCAGTTCATCCACGAGGGTTCCACCGGCCCCAGAGTTGTCATCCAAGCCGGGGTTGTCACAGTTTTGGGGACTCAGATAAACAATTACACATTCAATAATTTCACCCTCGCATGGACGGACAGCACCAACACCAGCAACGGCCAGATCACCTTCGCCAGCATGGTCGGTCTCAACCCGCAAAGTGATCCAACCTCTCCCAGTCTCCAATCAACTCAGGGCCAAGACGATACCAGCGCTGGAATCGCAAACCCATACATCGGCCCTCAATTCCACGGCTTTTTCTGGGCCCAAGGCCGCCATCAGCCTAGCGACGCCAATATCTGGGGTCGCATGGGGAAATTCCCAGAACCCACTGCAAGTGCAAGTGCTGTCTCGTCCAGCCAAGGGCCAACTGAGGCCTCGACCTTGCCGCAGTGGGCTGGCACATACAAAATTTACATCGTCGACCAGACAAAGCAGGGCTCTGTGACCAATCTCTAGCAGAGCACCAACTTGGTGACAATCGACGCGAGTGGAAACGTCACTGTAAACGGCACCACCATCATTCAACCGACCTTCAACAACGATATGCTAGAGTGGACCTCCGATGCCGGAAATCAATCGAACGCTATTCTCAAGATGAGAGATGCCACCGTTGCTGCCTCTGATGCGCCCTTTACCGGTAATCAATTTGCAGGTCAGTACTGGGCGAAGAGCGATCCGCAGCCAGCAACCTACAACTGGTACGGGTACGTTAATGGAAAAAGTGCCCCGAGTTCGAACAATACCGCCGGTAGCGGATCAGCCTCGACCTCTCTAGGAACTCCACAGACGGCAGTTCAAGACATGAACGGCTGGGCTGCTCTAGCGTCGCTCGGGTCTCAAGCCATGAACATGTACATGCAAATGAAGATGGGCTAGGCGGTCATTGAGCTCCTCAAGAAGGGGCTTCCTCTTCTTTGGAGGGGCCTCAAAGCTCTCTTCAGGGGCGTCAATAACTTGTTCCAGAAATTTCGAGGCAGCGCTCCTGAGCCGACGGATGCAGAAACCGAGCTATCGCCATCTGGGCCTGTCGAGAGTGGGGAGCCAGTCGAAGGAAAACCTGTTGACCCTGCGGAGGGAGGCCCTGAGCCAGACTTGAACATCGAACCGGCTGGTGACCCAGTTATCGAACCTCCGGTCATTGAGCCCCCGATTGATCCCGTCAACATCCCGGAAGTTCCGGCGGAAGAGTGGCTCATTCCAGAAATTGAGGGCGGTCTAGTGGATGTCATTGAGGGCGGACTCATTGCCGTTTAGGTGAGCCCGTGATGCCTACTAGATTGACAGGCAAATGCGGCTAATGTTACTTTGGATCAACCAGAAAATATAATTTCAACAACGTTTGCCATCAATATGACATGAGCGTGTCTGAGTGTACCATTATTTCATGAAAGCTGATGATCCTTAGTTCGAGTGGCCTGGGTGTAAACAGAATTCGTAGCTATAACTTTTAGGCTACAATGGAAGCTTTTTTCTTTTCTTTTTCTCTTTTCTTGTTTTCTCCCACCTCGTGTTGCAACCTGGATGGTTGGCATTTCAGATCAAAGTTAGCGCCAACGCCGCTGCTGGTCCTACTTGCTCTGCTGAAACAAAGTTGCGCGGACACCAAGACCCGTGGCTATTACAGTGGTTCGCAAATTTTCAATCCTTGATTGAGATCTTCAACCTAGCGTCATTGCTTAGAACTAACTTTTTCTTCTAGACCACAACCGCCCCCACTCTGCTACTTTCGGGTTCTCTTGAGAAGTCTCCTTTGCTCTACTAAAGACCTATGTTAGAATAATACTACACTTACCGCCCAGCATAGATATAGTAGAATCTAGCTAATAAGAGGGTAGAAATCTCTCTAGTTCTTAATACTATATTATTACACTTATAGCTATATCTATAACTTTAATATATAATACTTTTTTACTTATACTTTATAACCTTTTATATTAATTATTTAGAAAGTATTATTAATATTTATATTAATATTAATTAGTAGTTAACTCTATAAGTTATTATAATATTATAAGTTAATAAAGAATTAAAAAAATAACTTCTTAAACCTATTATATTATTATAAATTATAATAATTAGTTTTTTTTAAAAACTACAGTTATTAAAAGAAGTAAAATAATAACTACTATATATTATTAAATAAAATAACTATAAAAACTAATTATATTTACTCTAAATCTTTAGTTTAATATTATATTAATAATAATTTATTATAAAAATATTAATTATATCTTAAAAAACTATAAATATTTAATATATATTAAAATAATAAATATTTAACTTTTTAATTTAAATTAATTATTATAAAACGTACTAAAAAGGCTATAATTATATTATACTTAATAGTATTATTTATATTATTTATTTTTTATAAAATATTTAGTAATAACTAGTTATTTTTTATATTACTAATTACTTTATTTAGTTTTATAATAACTTAAGCTATTTTATAAACCATATATAGATATAAAAACCTATTTTTAAATAGTATTAATATCTTAAGTATATAAAATATTTTAAATTATAACTAAAAATATTAAAACTAATAAATTACTTCTATTATATACTATTATAAAAAGAACTAACTAAAAAGCTAAATATTAATAAGAATAACTTAAATAAATAAATATAACTTTATTAATAACTTATTGTCACGGGCTAGAGCCCGGCCGAGATCTCCGGCTTTGCCGGAGCAGCTACCGAGATCCGGCTCCGCCGGATCCACTATTCTGCTGTAGCACACCGCCTAGCCCCGGTCTGCATCACTGCTGCTAGGCGCCTATCCCTGTA